GTCATTAGCTAATGTATAAACATTAGTGACGTCACTGTTTCATGCATTCTTTTTCACAACTATAAACGCTTTTCCTGTTGCATAATTAAAACTGTTTTTCTACATTCGAATACGCCTTTAGTTTTTATTTTTCTTCTTTAAATAAAATGTCGGTTATACATTTAAAACATCTACCATATTTTTTTCAACAAAAGTCCGTATCTAGTTCTCTATATATCGCTGAAGATTCTGATGTGATGTCCGGCGAAAATATTTTGCGGACAGAGAGAGAGAGAGAGATAGAGAGAGAGAGAAGTGCGTACATGGGCTATTATATATTAGGATTTTTAAAAAGCGTTACGATAAAACCCGCCCTACAAACTCTGTCCAAGAAGGTCGGGAGGTGTGTGTACTAAATTAAATAAACCATGTAAAGCATACAAGCTTAAATAGTTTATTTACTGCTATATAATTAACCGCATGTTTAGGCGACATTATTTTACACACACTCGACCCCTGTAAACACAAATTGTGTTATACTAAGTCATATTTCTGTCAACCTCCACCTTCACAATTTTCATAAACCTCCACACTTTTTAATTGAACACTAAGTTGAGAAAACAACTCCGTTGGACGTTGTCAAAAGATTTGAACATTTTAGCATTCATAAATTCATAACCCAACAGTTATTTCTCTTGTAAAAATCTTACACATCTGTTTTGACTTGATCGATCTAAATAAACAGTATGACTTAATCTCTAGCTTTTTGCTGTCTAGAAATGAACGTCGCGTTTTTACTTTTTAACACTGTCCCAATACGTAGCACTGTGCTGTCGTATACTGTATTATACTGACGTCAGGTCCGTGTAGAGAAGAAAATCAATATTGAACCAATGAACATTATCAGGAGCAAGTCAAGCGTATTAAATGATTTTAGGCCTAGACACTGCTAAAAGGCTAACACATTCAGAGCTTAAACCACAAAATGGAATTTAAAGGGTAGTCTCCATAGAAGAAAAGTCTTACTAATAGAGTATAATCTTACAAAATTTAAAGTAACTATATTGAATTATGTTTAAATTCGAACACATTTAATTAAATCTCGAATGACTATCACACTGACAGATATCAGCAAGAGTAGCTTTTACTTCAATTTATAGACTTGAATTATTGTTTTTACTCTAATAAGTCTCAAATTCGGAGATTAGAGACTGCAGTACTTCCCCGTGTTAAAACAGCTTTCTAAAACGCGATTTAACGTCTAAAATTCGTTTACTAACATTGCTTTTTTATAATGCAAACGTGTGACGTCGCACTATCTGACCCCCCCCCCCACTCCTCCTTAACACACACCGTCACAAAAAATACGGACCCCCCTCCCCCCAACGAGTGTGATGTCATTTATGGTCGACCGCTTAGGTAAATTAAGGTGGCTGGGCATAGCGTTAACCAAACCATCCCCTTATACTTCATTTACTCTATTGATCATTACTGTCTATTATTGTTAGATTACAATTTGTGCTACCACTTTGAAGCTTTCACTAAATGTGTGAACACCTTTAAAGTCTACCTAAACAACACAATCCTCCATGAAGGTATCCAACAATAGCTAGGTGCCGGCATTCTCTAATTTTTTTAATCGAGTTATAGAAATCAATAAGAAACGTATAACTCATGATGAAAACGGTATCCAATTGGCAATTATCTTTTTTTTTGTTTTTGCTTATCAAGCTTTTAAAAGAATTTTAAATCAATGGGGTTTTTATTTCGTTAAGCTTTTATGATAATGTGCTCATATTAAATGTTGACTATCTTCTCAAATTTCGGCTTTTATTAAAAGATGTTAAGATCTTATAAAAACTGTATTCTGTAAAGTGACTTCCTATGATCTAAATATTTAAATGTTTATAACTTTTATATATGTCGCAGTCAAGCAGCTATCTCAGCGAAGCCAATCAAAACGATTTAGGTTTATTAAATTTTATAGAAAACAAGTCAAATTTGTCAATACTGAAATACTGCAGCTCTGTAAGAAGCGTTAGGGGTCTTTTAATAAGTTGTAGGAGGTTAAAAAGCGTCTGTGCATCTCTTTCTATAATCTTTATCCAAGGAACTTATAATCAGTTCGTATTGGAGCACTAATTTTAAAACGCAATTGCCCCTCAGTGTTTGAAGTACATTTTTTGCACATTAACCTGAAAGTGCAACAAATCAAGTTTTTTTGTGTGTTACTAATCAAGTGGCAATTTCTATCGACTTACGCATACACACGCATATATTTTTAATTATTCAAAACAGAAATTGACCCTTTTCTTTCGGAGTTTTATGTTCTCTAACTTATTTAAACACATAAAATGTCTTGATAAAAAAGAAAACGAATACACTTTGTTTTATAAACTTTATGTTAAACAAAATACAATTTGATGCATACATTTTTACCTAAGAACTATTTAATTTCCTCTATAAGAGTCGTCCATAAATTAAATTTTGTTACAAAACTAGGGCAAGCGAGAAGTAAATACAGGGAGAGGGGGAATGTATGGATATGGATGTGGGAGGACTTTTGTAGCGCTGACTATGAACGGAACGTAGACGGGTGAATCTGTTGCTTTTCTTTTGTTATGTCTTTGTTTATTCTTAGTTAAGTCACACAAATTCAACTCTTATAATTCTCAGGACTCTATTATTCCTGCCCATAAAAAACACTGGCTCTTTTTATCAAAATGAATCCTAATTAGAACTAGATAACCGACACATGAAAACTACAACTGGCCAGCAAATCGGTTATACTAAACAAAGATTTTCCCATGACTGTCTAATCCCTTATGTTGTCTGATGATGTGACATCTGATCACCTGACTTTTTCGTGATCTCTGATTGGTTGGTGCGTTGATCTAAAACGTCTACAACAACTTTTAATGTTGGCCTGGTGTCGTGTTACGTTGTGTAATCATAAAGTGTGAGGGGGAGGGGCTCCTAAACGTCCCCCACCCTCATAATAAGATTATAATATGTGTACGTAAATGGTTTCATGTAGACTTATTCATATAACGCATACATAAAAGCTGCACGCATGTTAAAAATGAGAGGGTAACTCTACATCGCTGGATTTCACTTACCGCTTGCGGTTCTGGTCCGTATTAACCAAGATATCTGAGGGATGACTGTATATATATATGTATGTATATATATATATATATATATATATATATATATATATATATATATATATATATATATATATATACCGAGAGCAAAATTAACGTTAATGGAGGAGTGGTTACAGTTTGATAGGACTTTGTGAAGTTAGTTCATGTAGGTGAATGGAAGAAGATTTGCATTTTCGTCTTTGTGTAAAGATAGGCGTGTCTGGGTTAAAATAGGCTAAGTAATGTGACGTCAATCACGAGGCACTTATCAAGTAAAATAGACATGAAGTAATAATTTAAATTTAAAACTGTTAATATAAATGTTAAACTACTACTTTTTTTCAAAGGAAGCAATATAACAATAATCTTACTAAATTACGAATTAATTACTCTTATCTTATAAATTTACAATTTAGTTTTATGAATCTTACAAAACAATATAGATTTAGAATAGCTTAAATATATGGGCAATAATTACATCTTTTGAAATTCTTTTTCAGAGCATAACAGTATTATAACAGTATTTGATATTTTAGTGTTTAAAAAAGAAGACGTTACATACTGTACACTGGAGTACTGATTATCCCATAAAACCGAATTCAACGTATTTAACTACAAACTATAAACATCAAGGTAATAAAGTGCAAAATATACAATTACAGTAAGATATAATACAATTTATGTAATAAAGGCATACAGTAAATAAATTACTAAAAAATCTACTTTTGTTAAAATTAAAAACATTTGAATTAAATACCGGCTAAAGTAATTTCTGTTAATAGCCATGTAACAAAAACATTATTTAAAAAAAGAAAAGTTTACATTATATTTTTAGCAAATTGATAAAAATCAGCTTTACCAAAACTTTTTAAAAAGAATTTTAAAATTTGAATGTAAAATAAATTTGAAATGAATGTTGTTACGTCCGGGTTTGATTGTGTTGTAGGTTGTTTGTGACTGCATGGTAGGTTGGTAGAACTTACGACCACTAACCCAAAGGTTTAGTGTTCGGATCCCGGGTTTTGGTTTGTAGGAAATCCCATATTCCACACACCTTAAGTCAGTGAAAGTAAATACAATTGGTCGTGAAGGCAACCATCTCAGTTTACATAAACTGGTGAACTCTACTTCATTTGTCCTATGGATCGGAAATCTAACAGAGGACGTGTAGTTTCTGCGTATAAAATGTAACATCACAAAGAAAAATATAATTAAAGTTTGATATTATATAATTCTAGTTATTAATATAGTTATTAATCACACACAAAAAATATTTTATTTTAAAAATTTGTTCGAATGTCAACAATTTAGTAAGTTAAATTGTGCTTATACGCTTTCTAGATACAAAATGGCCAAAATCCCACCGTATCATAGTATGGAAATATTAAAGTAAAAAATTGTGTAAAACACGAGCGAAAAAAAATTCTACAATTCAACATCATCAGATAAAAAATATGCATTAAGATAGACCTATCTTAAAAAGTAATGGTAACAAAATGTGCTAAGATTGAACCACATTAAACTAAATAGTATTGCTTAACAATATTTTGACTTATGTATCTGAACCAGCTTCATCATATACTTACATTTTTACTGAAAATCTACCACCTCCCATATGGGCAGGACACATCAGCTCATCAAATAGAACGAGCTCATTAACCCTGAATATACGCTTATTAAAACAGCATCCTAATTAAGAGAAACATCGTATCCCATTAGTAGATTACGCAGAATTGACCCAATAACTACAAGAACCAGTATTGTTACATAACAAACAAAGAAAAAACTAAAAGTTATGACAAGATAATATTCAAATATACATTTTAACAATATAGAAAGTTGTACTTTTAATTTTATTATTATTCACTATTTTTATCTATATATTTCATCGTCATACTTGTGTAACCTATCCACCACCTGTGGATAATCTTTCCTTAGAGAATTTATAAACTCGGGAAACGCCCGTCTGGGTCCCGCACGAAGAATCAAATTAAGCAGAGCTTCGGTCCGCTCTGTACGTGTTGGTTTTGAATTCACTTGCTGCATATCATCTTCAGAGATTATGTTCTTAGAAAACAGAAAACCAGTTAAAAACTTCTCATCAATTTCATCAACTAAATAAGTGTAGTTTTGTTGAAGGATTTTGTAGTGTCTCTCTTGTAGTCGACCACGTATCGGTGTCGTTTGGTCTGTGAAGTTACAGAATAAATGGAAAGATAAAGTTTAGTGAATTTGTTTATAATGGATTTGTACTATTCTCTGGATGACGTGTTCGTAGATAAATGCTACATTCTTGTGTGACGTCTGATAATATTATAATTTATCGAATTGTATTTGAGCCAAACAAAGTGTATATTATATCCATGTAATTTTCATAATAATATCAGAATAGATAACTATAGTAAATTTGCATTTTAACAACCTATCAAAGATAATACTGCTTTAACTACACACACCAAAATCTATAATTGTAAAAGAACAACCAAACACAACAAAAACAACCCATTTTAACTAAGGTAAGCAGATTACTTCTTGTATTAGGATTAGACAATGTAACCACAGATCACATGTTTTAGTTACTACTTGTTATAAGATAAATGTATCAAAAACAAAGACCGAAATGTGTATCAAATCAAATTAACCGAGGGCTTTACCACGACAAGTTGCTTAAAATAATGATTTTTAAAAAATCAAATAAAAATACTTTCTAAAGCTTAAACTTTCTACTTTCTTACACTCAGTAGGCAACAATCTGTCTGAGTCCCTTACTCTAGCTCAGTTGAGTGCTGCCTTTTGTTGGATAAAGTAAAGACAGCAGGACACTTTATTGTTTTTTTTTTTTGAGAGTATACTCTATTATGCATTTTAGACAATATTCTTAAAATTATAATAAATGTCCGTAATAGCCAAATAAACTACTAAACAATCGAATACCATTACCTTTAATTCCTTGAGATTTTGATGTGGTAGGATATTTCTTTGTATCTTCAGTTTTTACCTAAATAGCCGAAAAGTTAACTAATTACTTATTAGGTTGGACGAGGTATTAGTTATTAGTATACAGTTGATCAGCAGTCATTAATTAAAAATAAAAGTCATGAATAGCGAGCGATAAGCGAAGTGTCTACTGATATGAAATATTATTTCTAAAGATAATTAAAAATTTTGTTCTAGAGAGGTAGGCCTATTATGTCTCAACTACAAAAAAGTAAATTATTCGTGGTTTCATCACGTATGATGTAGCAATAAAATCGCCCTTAGCTTTTTTTTTTTTTTCCCAAAATGTTTACAAATCAAAATTTTTAAAATAATTAAACTTCAAAACAAACATTATTAATTAATTGAGTTTGTAATGTACATAGATAATCGTTAAAGAATGCAGCCGACTATCAATCTTTGTAATCCTATCCATTTTAAAACAACTTAGAGAACACATCATGAAGCCAGCCTTACTTTATAACTGTATGAATTTGTTAGAATGGTTTATTTAATTGATATTTATTTAAAATCTTGACACATTTTTTTTTTAGTTTTAGCAATATTCTATTTAACTGGATTCATCCGTCGTCCATGAAGCAGGACTTGCGAGCAAAAGTTCGATAAATTCTACAACACCGATTTTTCAATACGGCACGTGGGTCAAGATCTAACGGCAATGCATTGTGACAAAAATTTGAATTATGATAGGCTGCAAAGCTGATAATTACGCATTCATATACATACCTTGATAATGAGAGCTAGTATTACTATATAAGAAAGATTTTTTTTTGCTTTAATAGGAGATTCGCAGATTGGGCAATCGTCAACATCAAAACCACAGTTGCTACAAGTCAGATGACCACAAGGTTCAAATTTTGTATCCACTTCTACATTATAGCAGTTTCTACACCGTAGCAGCTCCTTCACCTCTGTATTGCCCTTCTTTAATTGAGTTGAGACCAGGGGGTCACCAGATAAGGACGCGCTGGGCCTACTGAAGTTGTCTTTTAGTATGGACTCAATCAGGGCTTCTGCACTCTCAAACGTTGTGCCTTTATCTTCCAGCCTTTTCTGTAGAGTTTTCTTGACCAGGTCTTCTGATATGTCAAGGCCAATCACCTGCTTGACTATGTCATCTTCTTTTGACGGTTGGGATTTTACCTGGGAGTATTAAGAATAGTATTAATGTTAGTAAATTGTTACTTATATATATATATATATATATATATATATATATATATATATATATATATATATATATATATATATATATATATATATATATATATATATATCCGTGTGTGTATGCACGTAAAGATTGTGTTGAACTTATTGACACACCGTTACGTGTAAGTTTGGTTTAAGCTGTTTCTCAGAATAACCTTATCGTGTATTAGCAGGCTAGTTTAAGAGGAAAATCTCTTAACAAAGTGGGCTATTAAAATTCGATTCAACAAGATAACTATAACCATCTAAATAATCGAGTCTTAAGTGTCTGAAAACTGACCTAGACTAACCGCAGGCTTATTTAAACTATACACTTTTTAAAGGTCTTGAATTAGATCGACCACTTGCAGATGCGACTCGAAGTTGATATTTTCTGTAAGCACCTAGATTAATACCAGGAGAGGGAAAGTAGAAACCAGCGATTTTCTGTTTAGTGATTTGGCTGATGTTTGTTATATTTGTGATATTGAGGAATGACGGGTGATATGTAGATTAATGTTTAGAATGACATGATGCTGCTGTTTTTTTAGCGTAGCTTTAAGTAATGCTCTTTATTTTCTCTTAAAATATTTCCAAACACTTGGGCGTCAAATGTAACGCTCACTCAGTGGGAATGCTTTTTACCCACTGAGGTGTTGTGGTTAAAAGTGGTGACCCTGAGATTTAGGACTAATTGAAGCGACGCTGTTGTCCGCTAATCGACTTTATTCAACAGTTGATGTAGAACAACATTAGTAAACGACGATTAGAGATGAATAATGAAACAAAACAAAAAGAAACAAAAGAAAAGAACTGTAGCCCTAAAACAAATGTAAACAAAAAGTTACATCAATGATAATACCACGTGTTGGCTACAAACATACACGCGTGCAATAAAATATGTTGCGGCCAGTACACAGTACTGCCAACAAGTACAGATAAGTAGTACAATCTGTGGCGTAGGCAGGGGGGGTTAGGGGGGTCATAACCCCCATAGACCCCTCGGTATATATATAAAATATGAGGGGGGGGGGGTGTAAATTGAAAGTTTGAGGGGGGGTGCAAATCGAATTTTTGTGGGGGGGGGGGGTGTGCAAATCGAAAGTTTGACGGGGGATGCAAATGAGACGATCCTGGCTACGCCACTGACTACAATAATAAATACTTAAATAAATACTCAACCTAACTAGTGTGCAACATGCAGCACTAGCAGGAATACACAAATAAGTATTCTAACAATAAACATAATTTATATAACCACATTACCTTCATTAGGTCTACATTGTTATGTCTACCACTAGGTACCGTCACACTCCGTGTCCATAGACAGCAGTCTTGGGTCTGACTGACACGGCTAGGCACGAACTACCCATAATCCCATGTCACAGTAGAGCATGCAAACAAACTACATCAACAGGTTTGCGATCCCACAGGGGCCGTAACCCAATGAGTTAAAACTTTATTCCTTCACCCCCCTTGCCTGGTAACCACATGTGTTACATGTATATATATATATATATATATATATATATGTATGTATGTATGTATGTATGTTGTTTATTACACACACACACACACACACATATATATATATATATATATATATATATATATATATATATATATATATATATATATATAATGTTGTTTATTACTAAAATTTAACACTAGTTTGTTAGATTTTTCGCATAAGACACTAAGAAACAATATCTTTGATTAAAGGTATAAGTAGACTATAGCTATTTCAATCTCTATAATCTACTTACCAAACACTTAACACGATCCACGTGTTGTTTAGTTTCAACAATGACATTTGTGTTGTGCAAGGAGCTCAAAAACTCAACAATATCTTTGAAGCCATATTTTGACGCTATAGCTAATGCATTGTTTCCATCTTTATTCACGGCTAGAACATCACATCCAGATTTCACTAAGAGCTCAACTGCTCGCTTAGCTCCCTTTCCGGCAGCGTACATCAACGCACTCCATCCATTTTTGTCAATAAAGTTAACATCAGCTCCAGATTTTATCAAATAACCAGAGATTTTGTCAGCTAGAAATCTGGCATAAGACTGATTTTTAATAAAACAATCAAAATTGTAGAAATTATATGTACAGTTTAAACCGTAGATTAAAGCATTCTTTCCATCTTTATCTACAGCATTAACATCACTTCCCTTATTAATTAACAAATCTACAGTTTTATCATTTCCATTCTCAGAAGCGTACATTAATGCATTTTTTCCATCTTTATCTACAACTTTAATATCACTTCCCTTATTAATTAACAACTCTACTGTTTTAGTATTTCTACTCCCAGAAGCGTACATTAATGCATTCCTTCCATCTTTATCTACAGCTTTAATATCATATCCCTTATTAATGAACTCATCCACTTTTTCATAAGCTCCACACAGAGAAGCCCACATTAATGCATTCATTCCATTCTTATCTACAGCTTTAAGATCACCGACTAGATAATTAAATAAATTTACAGGTTCATCCATTCCCCTTGAAGAAGCTAACTTTAAAGTATTTAGTTTTATTCACTGCATTAAAATGTCTTTAATTTTTTTTTGTCTCCGCAGTAAGAAGCATTAAGTAATACATCTACATCTTTACCATTTAAATCAGTCATAATATAATATTTTTAGTTTATTAAAGTCTACACCTAAACGATTCAATTTATTCTGTGTTTTAATATGTATGAATAGTATTAACAGCTTTATCGTTATTAACCATTTAAAAAGTTATTTCTATTTCTTTGTGCTTATGACGCCTACTTATTGAGATTGTCATTTTCGTTATGAACAGAAATAGTCTTTTATTGTTCTTCTCATTGTATCAAGAAAAAAAAAGAAAAAAAAACAGCATAGTTCAGCAAACATTGTCTAATTTTTACTTAGCAAATATTGTCAACAACGGAAATTTAACTTTAAGTGCTTTGTTGAACCGACAATTTAGTTATTGACAAATGTCAACATGCACAAAATTAATTATAGTTCCCCAATGCTTTGCTATGCTTTTTTTCCCAAACACAATTGTAAAACACTATTGTTTTCTTTATATCCGACTTCATCGTATTATCATCAGATGATTGGTTGTTTGGTGCCGTCACTTGTTTATCTGGATTTAGAAAATATATGAATTATATGTAATAACTTCTAAACAATATGTAGTTGGTGTTTCTAATCTAAACATTTTTGCTTGTCAAAATATAAAACCGTTCTCATATCACATGTTTAAGGTTACTTTATTTTACTAAATTTTGACGTGCCTATATCATCTCTAAAATCAATCATCCTGCAACATAATTTTAAACAATGATCCCGCTCCCATCGAAATGATTAGCTGTTTGAATTGATGCGGATGTTTGTTTTATCGATTGAGAATCGTTAAGCGGTAATCATTAGGCCTACATCATCATCCAATACAATTTCAGGATAGATAACTTTTTCACAAGGCAGCAGATTTCTGGTTTGAAAGAATAGGTTCGTAAAGAGAACCAATTGTTTATCTTTATTAACTTTACCTTGAAGTCTGTTGTATTTTGTACAAAAATTTCAATAACCATGCACTTCTGGAGCTTAGTTACCGTTGGGAGACAAGTGACATATTGTAGTTAGAACTTACAAATTAAGGGATATACAAAATCAGGGAAAGGTTAGAAGAGACATTAAATTATCATTCAGTTATACTTTGGTTCTTTCAGTTATCCTATCATCCCAATCATCATCATTTATATGCAACCCCCCCCCCCCCCCGTGGGGCATACAAACACTACCACAGCTCTTTATCGTACCCAATACATGTTCGTTCCACGATATTCCGGCCTTTTCTGCTTCAATGCTTCACTGACTACTGTTCTTTTCAATGTCTGTTATGGCCTAACTACTTTAATCTTTCCTTAGGGATTCCAAACTAGTGCATGTCTTGTAACATTGCCATCTGGTTTACGCATTGTGTAGCTAATCAATCCCCATTTACGCTAAATAATCATGTAGTCGTCTCTAAGTTTAGTCATCGTTCAAGTCGTTTTGTTTAGTTTAGTTATTGTTAAGTTCATGTACAAAGGAAAACAGAACGCATACAAACACAAACGCAAACTAAAACAAAAACGTAAACAAACTCAAGCGAAAACACAAACACAATGCAAACGCATACGCAAACACAAATACAAACATTAAAGAAAACACAACGCAGAGAAACGCAAATACAAACTCAAATAGAGACGCAAAAAAGGAAACGCAACCTCAAGCAAAATCGCAAACACAACGCAAACGCAAACACAAATACAAACACAAAAGAAAACACAAACGCTATCAAACGCAAACACAACGCAGACGTAAACGTAAACGCAAACGCAATCGCAAACATTACATGCAAAGGCAAACACAATTACAAACACAAAAGAAAATACAAACGCATATAAACTAAAACACAAAATACAAAACGCAAACTAAATTTCAAATACAAACGCAAAAGCAAATACTTTATCAAATTACGCTTTCCCGTAGGTCTTCGCACAGAGAACGCCTTTCCCACACTCTTTAATTTAACCACCATTTTAAAAAACACCGAAAAAAAATAATTTTAAGAAGTTATAGAAATAAAAAACAAAATAATACTCTGCACTGACTAATCAGAAAATAATATCAATAATATTAATATTAATCTATTATAAGTATGAGCCCTAACATAATAATCACTGCGGTAGGATGAAAAAAAAAGAATTATTTAAATAGCAATATTTAGCGAGAGTTGAACTTTGCCGAGTATCTAAAAAATTTAAGTCGTTAAATAAATAAATCCTATTCCATTAGCTATAATAAGACAATTCGATGCAAGTAAAATGCACGGCATGTGTTGATGTTTACTTTTATGGTTCTAGAATCTATAGCGATGATGGAAGGAATGACTGACACACTACTTGGCCGCTTATATTATAGACTAGCTTATACCAGTGCTTCACTACGGTTTGGATATGGGGTTCTGAGGATTGGGGCGGATATTCCTTGGTGGCGATAGCCCTTTGATAGATATTCACGAAAATTAAGCTTCGGTTAACAAAAATAAAAAGGCACAACGCGCCCAAGTACGTCCGCCCAGATTTTCCTCCTCCATTAGACCCACGGCGTAATTTTAACCGCCAGCAAACAACATGCTTACCCGGGCATCCGCGCCCGGCATCCCCATGCGCGACCGCACTCTTCCACCTCTATGAACGAAGACAAAGTGGCTATACCGATATCGGAATGACGGAAGTGCGAGAAAGTGCGAATCGACACTGGCGGCTTATTTTCCCACGTTTTCTTTAACTTGCTTTCTCTGTGTGTTTGTCTTTCCAATCCAATCTTGCGATCAAAATTTATGGCACTTCCCAGTTAGCTAGCGCGCTGAAATTTTCAGGGAAGCTTTCTTTTGGATGACCATTGAATATTCAATTGTTATTATTACTAAATTGATCAATGGAAACATTTTATTGAGCATTTTAGACCGCTATATAATCTATATATATAATTCTCCTCTGCGTACCTCGCGCGCAGTGAAGCGAACGATCCCACTTCGCCACAGGCTTAGGGACAGATAATTTAGTTTGAACCGAGTTTAAAATTACACGAGGTAGGCCAGTTTGGGGGAGACGATATGGTCGAGTGGTTGGGCACACGATTGCTATCCCACTCGACACGGGTTCAAATCTATGTGTTCTAGTCAGTAACGTATTCACACAACGTGTTTTTTACGAGTTGTCTTTTTACGAGTTGTCTTTTTACGAGTTGTCTTTTTACGAGTTGTCTTTTTACGAGTTGTCTTCGTTTACCCAAAAAAAGTGAAAAGATAAAATCGATAGCAAGATTTTAATGCAAACAAACAAAGACTAAAAAGTAGAAAATAATAATCATTAAAAAAGTTTAAAAAAACCCACGTTTTCTGATTGAACTAAAAAGTAGAAAATAAACGCTATACATCACAATAATGCAAGCGATCACTCTACTATAAGCGATCAAAAACGTGGGGCGCCGTGATTTTCTTACAGTTTCTAATACTGTTGACTCTCTACAAGCTCCCTAATAAAAGTCAATAGTATTATCTAATCAATTAGTAATATAACTTTTACTTCGGCGCCCCACGTTTTTGATCGCTTATAGTAGAGTGATCGCTTGCATTATTGTGATGTATAGCGTTTATTTTCTACTTTTTAGTTCAATCAGAAAACGTGGGTTTTTTAAAACTTTTTTAATGATTATTATTATAGACTAGCTGCAAGCCAGTGCTGCGCCACGGTGAATCTTTTTAAAATGTACCAACTTGGGAACAGAACAAAACTAAACACAAACGCTTATAACCGCGCTTCGCTACGGTGTAAATATGGATATTACCTCAGAGTTTACCGCGATTCGCGCGGGTGCGGTTCCTCGCATTGGGGCAAATAATCCTTCAGCGCACCACGCTGCGCGGGTGTCGGTATCCGCGGAGTTTACCTGAATTGGGGCGGATATTTCCCTGCATTGGGGCGGATATTTCTTCAGCGCTGCGCGCGGGTCTCGGTAGCCCTTTGGTGCGATTATGGAAATTCACAAAATGTAAATTACGATAAAAAAAATGCAGCATACCCGTGTTTCGTCACGGTGAATCCTTTTTAAATGTACAAACTTGGGAACAGAACAAAACTAAACACAAACGCTTATACCAGTGCTTCGCTAAGGTGTGGATATGGATATTACCTCAGAGTTTACTGCGCTGCGCGCGAGTGCGGGTCTCCACATTGGGGCGAATATTACTTCAGCGCACGGCGCTGCGCGCGTATAACTTATACCTGTGCGTCACTATGGTTTAGATATGGATATTTCCTCAGAGTAACGCGTAAGGGTCCCCGAATTAAGGCAGATAATCCTTCAGCGCACCGCGCTGAGCGCGGGTGTTGGTATCGTTAGAGTTTACCGCGCTGCGCGCTTCGCTACGGTGTGGATATGTATATTGCCTTAGAGTTTACCGCGATTCGCGTATTGGGGCGGATATTCCTTCAGCGCACCGAGCTGCGCGTGGGTGTCGATATTTTTTGTTAAAAAATTTTTTAGCCGACGTTCTCACGAGACATCTCTCCTCCACGAACCCGCGTCATCATCTACACCGCCGCCGAACAACACGTTTACCCGGGCGTCCGCGCCCAGGGAAAGACTCCCACAGGGTTCCTAAATCTATAGCAATGACGGACTGACACACTGCCACCAGCGTTATATTATAGATTATAGATTATATTATGAATAGAGGAAAATTCAAAGACAAAACCAATTAGAAAAATACGTAATTTATAATCCTTAGAAACAATGTATTGTCAAATCGATTGTTAAGAAACATTGAGCTATAGAAACAGTGGGGTAGCCTATGTCTGGATCAATGAAACTGCGGACGATATCTTCAATTAAAGAAAATGTCGGACTAAAAAGTGTTCTAGACAAAATGAACAGTGAAAATGTTTAAAATACAGTAAAAATTTTTAGCTAGC